AAAAGAATATTTCACTTCTCAATTTTTCTTTCAAATTCAAACAGTATGCATGCCTGTATCTTCATGACCAATAGGAACAGATCCCATTTTAGAAGTATTTGTAATTTTTAAAAATAGTAATTTTTTAAATTGTAATTTTTTTTAAAATTTCTTTCTGAGGATTGGCATTTCCCTCCATCACATTGAGTCAATTAGCGTAACGCAAAAGATCATCATCGCCCTGCCCGCCACAATGCGCTAAAATCCGATACTTTTTTAAGATTTTTTTGGCCCACGGATAAACGTATTGCCCAACCCTGGTATAAAAGATAGTTTATAAAACTTCTTTTGAAAGATAATTTAAAACAATATAAAGCCTACGAATTTCTCTCTGTTCAAATGCAAGCCTATTCAAATAGATTTATAGTTAAAATTCTTCCCTTTTTACATTGCGTAAAATGAAGGCAGTGTTGAAATTTTAACTCATTAATTATTTCACATATCTCTCAGTCTTAAGAAATAACAATAAATTCTTAAATTAGGCTGTCATTAGAAGTGAATTTTTTCAAAAGTTTCATTTCCCAGAAAGGTATTTGTGACAGACGTTGATTAAATCATCTTGAAAATAAACGCCGAGAAGGAACTAATTTTAGAATATCATTTGTTCTATCTCTTTATCAGCATTTGAAGAGCATTTGTATGACTTAGTGCAAATTATACTTTTCATTGAAATGACCATTTTCGTTCACGTTTATTACGTATAAAATGTGAAAATTTAATTGAATTTTACATGACATAAGAGGAAATAAATTCAAATTATGTCTGGAAATGGAATTTGAGTAAATGAATACAAGGCGGTTATGCAATGCGATGCAATGTTGTAACACTCTTAAATGACATACATTAAGAAATAATAAAGAATAATTTTTCCAAAATGTGTTTTCCATTTCGCTTTAAAATTCCTTTTGTTATCAGTGGTATATACAGAAATTCGATTTATTGATAATAGATGCTATGACAGGGAAAAATAAAATCCAGACTATCTATTATATCCACATTATGAAAATATTATTTTCCACTTATTATAAAAATGCACTGTTTATCAGGATAAAAAGAAATAAAAGCATTCAAAACAATAGCAAAACAAATTGCTTTGTATTTAACTCGCATCGCTATGGTGAAAACTTTGCTATCAAATTTTAAACTATTTCGCTATAAAAAGAGGGTTCACGTTTTGCATACAGACACTTTGTGGAGGGCAATGAAATGTGGTGTATTGATATTACGGTATAAAATTTTAATACATAATTTGGGGTTCGAAAAGTACGACATTTCGAATGCGTATAACTACGTGGCAACGCATCTTATCGCCTTGACTAGCTGGCATTCTGCCCAAATTTTAAGACCCATACCAGATAGGTATCAGGCTTTATTAGTAAATTGCATACATACTTTGTTTTCCTTAATGCTTCAAAAGCGTTTGATCGCATCTAGCACTCTGGCCTTATTTATAAATTATCAAAATAGGTGTATCTCCAGGCTTAGTTCTAAATCTTTCATTATATAACATATTTAGTTATGACATCCTACAACACCTTATACCTTATGGGTCATACCTAAGTGCAGATGTTTGGAACCTGGCATTCGACAAAATCATTAAACACAAATAGCCCCAACACTCTTAGCTTTCGCGGACGATGCGGCTTTTGGCGTGAGAGGTAGCTCCACAGACGAGTTACAAAGACATGTAAATAACACACTAGAGCATTTCAACTGTTTATGCAAATAACAAAAACTAATAATTTCTCAAAACATAGCAATGCTCCCAAGATTCGAAATCGAAGGATGTAAAACAAAAGTGTTTAACTCTCTTAAATACTTGGGCGTCATCATTGATAAAAAGCTTAACTTTGTAGACCATCTAGACTGTATTAACATCAGGACCTCTAAAATCATAGACAGATGAGCAAATGAACAGAAGATTCTAGGAAAAACTCACAGGAAAAAGGCCCACAGGAAAAATGCCCACAGATTAAGGCTCATAGGTATAAATGCTCACAGGAAAAAAAGCCCACACAGAAATATACTCACATGGAAAAATGCTCACTTAAGAAATATACTCACACAGAAAAACGCTCACATGGAAATAAGCCCACTGATAAATAAAATAAGTAGAAATATCCTTATATTAATCAATCAATAAACAATCAATTTGAACATCGTACACATACTTAATTTTTAAAAGAAAAATTGTTGATCATTTAAAAATATTATTGGACAAATGCTCACATAAGCGTTTTCAGGGGCGGTATATAAAAGAATCAGAACTATAGTAAAATTTTGCATGTACTATAATATTTTATACAGCTGCCCCTGTACGACATTTTTATTCCTGTGACTACCAATAGTTAATTTTTTTTTGTATTCTATTTTTGCATACTTTTTATGTGTATCTATATAAATTGATGTTTCGATGTAGTTATTTAAGTTTAGAGCCAAAAAAGTGTGGAATCGAAGTGTGAAATCATTATGAAGCAGCTTTCGAAAAAATCTCCTAAATCTATAAATTGTTACGAAAGCTTTCGTAAGGTACTAAATTCATTATTTAGTTGTAGCCATCTCAATATGTGTTTTTTATTTGACGGACTGAAAAAGGATTTAGCTTGTCAACGTTTATTATTAGCAACGTAAATTCAAGGCGTACTGAAGTGGAAAAAAAATATGAAAACTTACATTTGGTAATCGCGAATCATGTAAGAAACTATGATGAAATCGATGATAAAATTAGATATTTACGTATATTAGCTAATACTCAGCACGTTTATGTATTTATAACTTTTTGAAATACATATTTATGATTTATATATAACAAGGTTGTGGCCTTTTTTCCTATGGACATGAAAAACGTGAAATTTTCAACAGAGACAATATATATATATATTATATATAAAGTTTAAAATAATAAATGGCATATTTTACCATATGCTATGTTCAAAACATAATTGTTGAAAGAGTGATTATTCATTGTTGAAAATAATTTTTTGATTGATGAATTAATTGAAACTGCGAAGTAAAAGAAAAAAAAATTGTTCTAATTTTTTTGTAGAATATGCTGTTATTATCTATTTACATAGATAAAATAATTAATGAACTAAAAAGAGAAAAATAATTTACTATACTTTAATGGAAAGAAGAAGTTAAATACTTTTGTTTACAAAATTCATCTACGATTTATAAGTATGATATAAACGTGGAGGGCTTAAGTAAATTTAATAATATATTTGAACAAATATAAGTAACTTTTATACGATTAATGCAACAAATAAATCTTTTTCATCGCACAAGGACTGAATGAAAAATTTTGAAACTGCCTCGAATTCTCTTTTCGAATGTTAGATAACAACAACATATGGGCTTCCTTGCTCTGCGAACGTGATCGCACAAGTCCTCTCACTCCTCAAAACCAGGCACGGAGGTTCAATTTCCGCTCTGGGGCCTCAGAGAGAGCGTTAAATTGCTACCTGCCAGTCGCTCGGGATGCCTGTCGCAGGGGAACATTACCCAGCGAGCCCGAGGGCGCTGCACCCGGGCTACTAGAGCCATACCGCTCAGGACGGGCCATACACCGGGGCCAAACAATAAGTGATCTTTCCTGGAGCCTTCAGAACCACCAAGTTCATAAATTTTATACCCTCGTGGCCGAGACTGCCTAGGTACAGAACCTAGCCAGTAGCTTTGCAGAGTTCTCTGCGTTGACCCCCTGGGAGGAGAATGTTAGATAAGGCAGCCCTGTTCTCGATTTGCGGCTATAAAGCATCGTGTTTAAAGTTGGACAGTTATGAGTTTTTGTATCTGGTCACTACGAGTAAAAGTACCTAGTATAATTTATCATGGCAGATGGGAAAGACTTCTTCATGACGCTACAATAAAGACCTGGCTAAATTTTCTATTAAATGGAAACAGCATTCTTGAAATCGTACAGTATGCATATGATGATAAAACATTTGGTGGTATTTCGATATTTCAATGATACAAGCAATTAAGACAATAAGGCGCGAGTGATTGATAAAGCATGTTCTGGAAGGTTGTCTATTGCGGCTATAGATGTCAATTTTGTATACCCATGGAATCGTCTGCTTATGGTGAATCCTGTCACTGAATATTACTGTCTGTTATAGACCTTTAAAATACGGTGACATGATGGTAATGCTATTGAAATAGTGAAATTTTAAGTGGAGCCACGACTTAGAAAAGATCGGATTACCGGATTTTCTCAAGAAATGTTTTTGCTTCAGAACAACTCAATTCTAAGTTGCTGCCATGGCACTGACAACATTTTTTGATATCGTTCTCTTAAAACGTTTTAGCATATAACTTAGAGAAAATTGTTAGAGCTTTTCAGCATATACTATCTTAGGTAACTGCAAAGGAAAAGATATCCAAATTACTATATTATATAAAGCATACTCGATAATTATTTTCGTCTGAAGGGTACGCGATTCTAAAGTTTGGGGATCGTTGCTCTAAAGAGTAGCACTCAGGTATTGATTGATTCCTCGCACACGTGATTCCTTCTCTTGCCTCCCACCTTTTTGCTCACACTTTCTTCCCTGTCTCGTTGACGAGTGATCCAAACAGCTTCTAATGAAACCGGCCCAGCCCCTCACCGATGTCCGTTGCGGCACCTCCATCAAGAAAGGAAGGCAGCTCAGTTGCCAAACCGAGCTAAATCAGCTTTTTGAGATCGACATGAACCTTGAGAGGCGAATGACCCTCCTCCTTTTATTTATCTTCCCCCTTTTTTCTATTTTTCATATTCTTACAAGAAAACCACTTTTCTCCATTCATGCGTCAGGCGTAGCATGGGAATCAATTAATTAATGGAAAAAACATTTTCCACATTTTGATTTATTAATCTGTTTGGGGAAGTTATCCTAAAAACAACTGAGTTAAGATCAGATTGAAATTTTCTTTTGCATTTATTTTCGAGTAGATGAGTATTACAAATTTGATATCCATACCTTGCCGTCGAGTTCTTCCCAAACTTCAGTGCAGTCGTAAAATTCTTGTCCTCTGACACTAAACTTTTCAGCTTTTCCATGGATTAACTGGAACGTAGAGAGACTGAAAGCTGCTATCCATATGGCTATCATTATGAGTGGACCTCGAGATTTTGTCCAACGTAAACTCAATGGATACATGATCGCATAATACCTGAAAAGAAATTGCTTGTTTATTATAATTGTATAACTATTATAAGGAATTACATGCAAATAAATGTGAAATACTGTTATGAAACTAATCTGGGAATGAAATTTAAGAAAATAAGTTAAATCAATAATTTTATAACTATTAAGATGTTAGTTATCTAAGTTCAAAACGTTATTTTGTTTTCTGGGTCGAAAGTTATGCCACCAAAATGATCGTTGCGCATATAAAATGTAAAACTTAATTATTCTTGATTTAACAAATTTTGATGTGTTAAGATATTTCAATTAAAAGGATAATATGTAAAATTATTATAAGAACAAAAATACGTTCTCTAATCTTCACCTCTAACTTTTAGTTAAGTGATTGCGCAACGATTGCCAGTGTACTGTATTAGTGACTTGTAAGACCACAGTTCTCTAATGAAAACAAATAAGTGAACTCGTGGAATTTTATGCAGTATGAATTACATTTGAATGTGAATAGAAGAATTTAAAAGTAGTGAATGAAGCCAACTGTAAAGTTGTGCATGCATTTTGAGACTTGGCGTTATGATTAAACACAGAATAAATGAAACTAAGTAATAAACCAATACTATTAAATAAAGACTTCTTCGTATAATAGATGGATCAATGATTTCATCATTTTACTTTACACTATTACTCAAAATTTTCACAACTCTGAGTAAATAAAGTAATTCAATAAAATAAAGGAATTCATGATATTAGTCAATCAGCTCAATAAAATTAATCAATTCATGAAATTAATCAAAATTTTCACTGTACACAATGTTTCGGGTAAATGCATTGTTAAATATACATAATGATGTCAAAAGCGTAATGATAAATTGCACCAAATTTAATGCTAGTGAATACACATTCACTTCTTTCAATAAAATGCCTGCATGCATGTAGGAAACATTTTGGCCGCTCTCTCATGTTGCGGGAGAACAGGACAGGAAAAGTTTTCCCCGTTGACCTTGTGAGATCAGCTGAGTGCGTCCACGCTACTCATATTTTTTTTTCTTTTCTTTTTGTGTATTCGACTACAAGATTTCTACTCTTATGGCAGCTTGACTGTTGATTTTTCTACTTTACCGTAGTGAAAAAAATATATTCGGCAGAAAGTGTGCATTCAATTTTGAATTTGTAGAGTAATTTAATTTATTTTGGAGCGGAAAATAGGAAGGCATCAGCGAAGCCTTTTCATGTATTCGAACTCCGGAGCTCCCGATTACCAGTCAAATATGCTTCCAGTTACATCAGGAAAATATGCAGAAAGGTACGAGAAAATTCTTGAGGATTCAGTCCCGAAATCCAGCTTGTGATATATAGTGTCTGTCACTGCTCTTTTAGTGCAGGTGCTATTTATACAGTCATTAAGTTTATTTTAGGCAAAAAATATGAAATATCAGAGATGCTCTGACCGGGATTAGAACTACTGACGTCTTAAATGGCAGCCTTGCAATTACATGACGAAACCATGCAGTAAGGAATGGGAAAACTCATTCTAATATTTATCTGGACTTAGATTTTTGGTTTTGATATGACGTGTGCAGCAGGATGATATGATATGATATGATATGGCAGGATATCATATGATATGATGTGCATATGGTATGACATGTAATATGTGGTGTATACACAGGAAATTACTGGCAGGCAAATACGAGTTGCTTTTAACTGTGGGGGGAGGGGCGAATGAGGTAAGAAATTTTACAAGGAAAGCACGAGAACTTCAATTTCTTTAGCGAAAGGTTTAAAGGTTTTGCTAGTCTGACCACGTATATTAGACCACACTGGCAAGACGTACTATCGATTTGTAGGAATTTAGATCCGGAGTGAGGTCTTTACAGAATTGCGAATTTTATTGATTGCGAGTAATTTTATCTTTATTTAACTTCATAAGATTTAAAAACTAAAAAAAAAAAAAACTGAAAGGGATAGATAAAGGCTTTGGCCACTGGAGACCTACAGATCGCTCGCAACTAGAACTTGACTAATGGATCTTAAGCGGCAAGCAGTGCAGAAAACATAAGTAGACTTTTTAAGTTAAAGTTCAATTGAAACACATCAGTGCCTGTCAAGGCTGGTGATCCCCTGTAACGTGGAGGTTGATAATCATTTGCGATCAAACAACAAGTTATCAGTGAGCTGGAGCACAGTAATTTTATACAGATTTTAAAATTAAACTAAAGGCCATCTGTGCTTGTCAGAGCTACTAGTCACCGGTGATTTATAGTTTGATGGTTATTAGGTCAACCCATAAGTCACTGGTGTGAGACGAAGCAGAAAATTTATATAAGCTTTTGAATTAAAATTAAATTACAGGACGCCAATGCATGTCAAGTCTTTTGTCATTTACAATTTGTAGTCTGAAGGTAATCATGATCAACCAACGAAACACCAGTGTGATGAGGTGCAGCAAAATTAGATGCAATTTTAAATTAAAACTAAATCGATCCACTCAGGTGTCGATCAAGGCTGTTGACCACTAGTTACACATGAGTACTATTGATTAACCCATGGATCACTGGCAAGTAAAAACGTACTAAATTTAGGTGGATTCTTAAAATTAAATTGAAATCTAGGATACGGATGTGTCCAACTGAAGGATACGAATGCTCCAAAGACCGTTAAACCCAAAGGTCAAAAGTCAAAGGTGTCAGGCTATCTTCACTGGCCGCAAATGACTTATAGTGCTTTGTTATCAGTATCAGTCAGTGCAATGTTCGTTACAATTGCAATACTTGCCAAAGTAAGTGGATGATTATATAATGTACCATAAGTTATCACTTCAAAGATTTTTTGGAAAGAATCCTCTGAGAATGTGAACCCTGGAAAAAAGCGTGATCAGTCAGTAAACATTTAAAAAATGCTGCATATTTTTACCTATGTCCATCAATGTAACCTGTACAACAATAGCCACTGATTTGAATTTTTTAACTTTCAGTGCAATATTGGAATTACTGAATCTAATAATTTCGTTTCCATTAATTCCAATAACTCAGACTATTACTATTATTGTATCAGAATAAAAACTTTTCCACAAGATGTAGAAATACGTATCTCTAAGTATACGTAGAACATACGTACTCCTAACTGTCTTCCTAACTTTATGGCTCAGACCCGTACTGTACTTCTGAACAGAGCAGCATACATTACGTTTCTCATTACTCGTTGTTGATTAGGGTTCATCAAGTCTTCTTGATGTGTTGAAACGTCTAATAACGGTATGTGCGTTTCATCATCAATTAGGATTTTAGAAATAATGATGCATCCACCATCGTTAAGTGGATTCAAACAAGCTCGGTGTTTCATTTATTTATTTTGTGTGTGTGTTCTGTTAATTTAGGGAAGACTCTATGATAAATAAATTTCTTCGTATGCACTTCATGTATAGATGAGAATCCGGTGTTAAGTTCCTTCTGTATCATTTGGTAGCGATTATCATTGACTAACATTTTATGGCTCGCACATTATCTAAGACTTCAGCTGATAATGGTCTTCCTGTGTACTCTTCATTCAAGACAGAATTTCGACCTTTAAGAAATCCCATATATCATCTGAATGCAGTTTTCACTAAATGAAGCTTCATTTTCATACGCTGAATGCAGACATTTTGAATTAGCTCTATTTTTAAATCATAAAAAACGAGAGCACGTAAGTGCACACGAGAGCACTCATACAAGAGTTAATGCACTCAGTGCTCTCGTGTGAGTTCCATTTTCCTTTGTTCAATAAGATAAATATAAATTACTGAAACAAATTATTATATACGGGCATAAAAGAGTTCAAATTTACATACCTAACAATAATTGTTTTCTTTTACCCCAAAGAGCTATTAAGCCCAAAGAGCCCGGACGGGCTATTAATTTCGTTTTCGAATTTTTCGTTTAAAACTTTAAATGTCTGTTTCAATTTCCAAATTGTTGCCCCCAAATATTATTGCCCAGTGTTATATTTAAAGAAATTAAATAATGAAGAACTTGCATAAATGTATGTACGTTTCTCGCACTGCGATCAAACAACGGTACCTAGAGCCATCCAAATTTGAATAACGTAATCCTCCACTGAATATGGGCTTCTGGAAGACCTAATTTGGAATTTGTTTTTATTATCGATTTCATATTGTGTAATAGTTTAACGAGCGTTTGATTAAGAAACTCAACGATTTCAAAGCGAGCAATGGCAACACTATACGGGGAAAAATCATCTCCAATGCGCGAGAGTCGAAAATTCTAAAGATATGCCCTTTTGAAATTATTTTGCGATATTGCTGTTGAATTTTTATAGTTTAAGTGCGAAGAACATGATATTTAATAAATACAGGTAACACACAAAACGTTAGAAAAAATTCCCTTTTGAGCGTAATATAAAATCTGAAAACTTTCAGATTTTGTGTTCGCTTATTGTCTTCCTCTGACTCAAATATTACAGAGTTATCTCCGTATGTATATTAAATATATTAAGTAAGAAAATATGTAAAACGAGATTAAGCAACATACTACGTGGAGTCTCTAAACATAGAATTATTTTGCAAGCAATGAATATTTTTAACATTGATCTTATAGTTTTCTCTTAACTTCCTTAATGTAAAGAAAAATTATGTAGGTTATGTGAAAAATGATTGAATTGTATATTAGAACATTGAAAGAATGTTGTATGGAGAAAACCATTTAAAGCAAATATTTAAGCGATAAAAATGTACAAAAGACTTTTTATGTGCTTGTTAATAGCATATAATTTAAGTAGAAAATAAAATTCAGGAACTTGAATATCTGTAAGCATAAACTGCAAAAGGCGTTTGTAACTAAAATCTTTTTGTTTAGAGAAATATTTTTTCCACGCCCTCCTAAATTTGCTTTCCTTGAAATTTAAGTTCTGATAATAATATTTAATTTTGCTAATGATGGAATTAAGACAGCTGTTCCATGTTTTTAAGAACAAAAATTATTATTTCCTATGTGTTTCCTAATATTATTAAATGTTATTTTCCTTAACGAG